CTGCGACTCTGACTCCCGAAATTCTGTGGCCAAGACGGCTCAGGCGGCGACGGGCGCGAAGGGAGATGGCCCGTCATTCCCGACGCTCGGGCCCCTTGTTTCACGTCATGAATACTACTCTCATGAGTACTACTCTCCTCTTACCCCAAACGAATGCTACTCTCATGAGTACTACGCTACTACTCTCATGAATACTACTCTCATGAAACCTGTTCGCGTCGATTACTTGTCTCCTCTTACTCCTAACGACGTCCAAAATCCACCATGCTGCAGGGCTAAGGTTCGCAATTTCCTGCGCGAGTTCCTGCTTCCAATTTCCACTGTTACAGTTCTGTTTCTTGCTGCTTACTGTTCCTTGTTGACTAATGCTCACTGTTCCTTGTTGTTGGACCGCGCGAAGGGGCGTTTTTAGCACGTCCACAACGTGTTGTCTGAATTGCTGGGGTGGGTAAGCATCGACGCCACTCGCGCAGATCGGCGGGGCCAGGATCCAAAAAACACTAGGGATTTGCCACATGTCTGAAATCCAGTGGCACCCTTCACACTGATCGGCAGGGTCAGGGTCCAAAAAACACATGGGATCTGCCGCATGTCTGACATCCGGTGGCACCCCATCGCGCAGATCGGCGGGGCCAGGGTTCAAGAACACAAGACATGTGCTACATGTCTGAAATTTGCTGGCACCCCTCACGTAGATCGGCGGGGTCAGGGTGCAAAAACACATTGGAGTAACCACGTGTCTGATACTCGGTGGCACCACTCACGCAGATCGGCGGGGTCAGGGTTCAAAACCACAGAGGATTTGCAACATTTGTGATATTCGATTGCACACCTCACGCAGATCGGCTGGGTCAGGGTCCAAAAACACACGGGGCGCGCCACATGTTTGAAATTCGGTGCCACCCCCCGCGCAGATCGGCAGGGTCAGGGCCCAAAAAACACAGTGGACGCGCCGCATTTTTGAAATCCGACGGCACCCCTCGCTCAGATCGGCAGGGTCAGGGTGCAAAAACACAAGGGGGGTGCCACATGTTTTGAAATTCGGCGGCGCCCCTCACGCAGATCCGTAGGGTCAGGGTCAAAAAACACATGGGGTTTGCCGCGCGTCTGACATTCGGCGGCACCCCTCACGCTGATCCAAACAAGTCCCGACACTGCTTCACGGCGGCGCCCAGACCTCATGATTTAGCTTTTGCATCTCCCATTATCCGAGAGAGGGCGCCGGCGGCAGGGGGCGAATCCCTTACGGATATAATCGCCACCCCCTTCGCGCACAACTTCTGACAAACATGACCCCCTTCGAGCTGATATGTCCAGTGCGCGTTGCACGTGTCTTCGGCCGTTCCGCGGGTGCGATAAAGAATGAAGGGGGCAATCGGCCTCCTCCTCCTCCGCCTCCTCCTGCCCCCCCCCCCCCATCCTCCTCCTCCTCCTCCTCCTCCCCCCCCTCCCCCTCCTCCCCACTTCCTGCCCCTCCTCTCCCTCCTCCCCCTCCTCCTCCACCCCCCCCCCCCTCTCCTACCCCGCGCGCGGTTCGAAACAAAAACATCTAGGGCGCTAAGATCGTTTGGAGTCTCGCGCTGCATAAGCCGCGCAGCGGGCGCCCGTGACATGTGAATTGCATTGAGCGGCGGCTGGCTGGCGTGAGACATTAATACTCGTGTGGGTTTGTGCACTCGCGCGTGGTGCGTGAGGCGTTGGATGGATGCGCAGTTTTAACATGCATGGCGCGCGCGCGAGTGCGGCCTGCCCCCAAAACTCGCACAGTTCAGCAATAATGTTGGTCATGTGTCACTGGGGAACATGTTTTTTTCCGATTTGCGATTTCAGATGCGTTGTCGCGGGCCCTTGGGCCAACGGATATTTGGTCATGCATTCTTGGAATTATTGGTTTTCTTGGTTCTGGTTCCCATAAGTAGAGAGTCGGGGCTGACCAGCCCATGGCTCCAGATGATTTCTTTCCTGTCGCGATACCATTCATGCCCCTTTGCCGCGCGATGCCCTCGGGCCGCGCGGCTCAGGTCGATGATATGATTCTTCCGCTGTTGACGGGGCCTGGGTATTCGCGATGATGTCGAGTTGAACGCGCAGCTCCCCGTTGCGCCTTTGCCGCGCAACAGCGGGGCCAAAACAGCAAGTGTCGCCGCCGGCGCCAGGCAGAGGTAGGTCGCGACCGCGGCGCAGCGGGCGCGCCCTCCGCGGCGCATCAGCCCTCGCCCCCCTTCGCAGCGTCTCAGCCCGCGCCGTTTCCAGCGCCGGCCGGGTCAGCGGCGCGGCGGAGGTCCCGACCGTCAGCTCCGGGGCGCGGGGCAGTCGGGGCCACGTCGGGGAGGCGGCGCCATTGGGAAAGGCGACTGCTTGGGGAGATCACCCCCTGCGGCCGGAGAAGAGGCTCCGGCGCGCGCCGCGGCCCGCTTGTCGGGCGCCTCTCAGGGACGGCCCCCGGCCCCCGCGATGGGCCGCTTGCCCCTGGGACTCCAGGGGTTGGAGGGCGACCGCCTGCTTCGGCAGGGGGGCGGGTGAGCCTCCGAATGCGGCAGCGGCGGCGGCCGCAGTTGGCCCTCTCGAGCGTTTCCGCGGGCCAGACGGAGAGACCTTGGGCGCGGGCTCCAACGGGGGCTTCTTCTTTTATGCGTCTGACGTGGCCGACTTAGCTCGGACTTTGGAGTGGGCGTAAAGACCTCTTCCGACAACGTGCTTTCCGTGCTGCGAGGGTGCCCTGGGCATCGGACTCGGAGCCTTCAGCTCTCGGTGCGATCAGACGAGGGGGTGGCGCGAGGTCGACGTGCGCTCCAGCGCCCTTGGGGCGTCTGTCCGCGCCCCCCCCCTTGCCCGCGCGCGCCTCGCCCCGACTGACCTTCCGTCTGATCGAGCCCGTCGGACTGGGTGGCGACGCGGGCGCAGCGCCCGACGATGAGGCCGCACCTGATGCACCGATGGCTTTTGCGCCCTGGTCTGCGCCAGCTGCGCCGCCCCCGGCGCCCTTGAATGTTCGCTGAACGGGTTTTCCTCTGGTGCTCTCGTCGTGTTCCAGGCCGCCAGTGAAAGCGATCCTGTCCAGTCGAAAAGAATTGTTTACGTCATTTGAGTTTTTGATGTAAGATGCCCGATCCATGAAACGCCTGGGGCATAGCTGTCTCGGGAAGTCATCTCGTCTCAAGGAGGGCCATCATCGCTAATCAACTCTACCCTGATACCATTGTTGCGCAAAGGCTTTCAAGCTAGAGGAGCTTTGAGGATTCTGCCACTTCCGAACGCCACGAAGGGACCCCCCCTTCCCGCGGGGCCCCGCGGTGCGGCCTCTGGCGCGACGTGGGCCGCCGCGCGTGCCGGTGGCTTGCCGCGGCGGGGTGGGAGGCTGGCGCCGTACGTGGCTTGGAGCGCCTGGGTGATAGGCAAACCCTCGTCGCGGCTGGAGGGCACTTGCGCGCGAGACGATCTGGAGTGGCTCGAGCAGCCAGCGCAGCCGTCTTTGGCGGACCTGGAAGACTACGAGATGGCGGCCACGCGGTGGACCCGCGTCTACCTGAAGACCAACAACACCGCTGGCTTGGCGTGCCTGCTCGTGGCCAAATTTACCGCGACGCCCGGCGAGAATCGGCGGGTCGTGGCGCGCCTCAAAGGGAGGGCGCAGGTCGCGGACCTGGCCGCGGCCAACGTGCGGTTGAAGCCGTTCCCGGAGATCTCCCATGGCCCGTTCCTCGGGCTGACCCCGAAAGAGAAGACCGAGGCGTTGTAGGCGGCCGACCGCCTGGTCGCGGAGCAGGGCGCGACGAAGGCCACCATGGTGAAACGTGGGCCCGCCCCCGGCGCCAAGGGCCAGTCGCCGAAGGAAAAAAACAAGCTCGGGGAGAAGATGTTGTGGTGGGGGGTGAGCTGGGTGACCGAGGCAGCCGGCTTCTTCTTCCTGCGTCGAGGGTGGGGGGGGCGTGGCATCTGGTCTCTTCGTTACTTGGCGTATATGCGTGGCGACTGGAGCCCTGGAGTGGGTTAGTTGGTCGTGCAATCGCATCGAGGAGGCCGCGGATGCCGTCGAGGACGTCAAGGAGCAGGTGGAGGTAGTCATGGCCCTGCGCGAGGAGGGGGAGCTCGATGTGGTGTGCATCGTCGCGGTGATTCTCCTCTTCTCGATCTGGACTTGCTGCTGCGCCCGAGGGGGAACAACCCCGCCGATCGTGATGGATCGATGGCTTGCCCGAAGGAACCGCGCGGAGCCTGTGGGAGCGCTTGACCGATCCTTCTCTGGCTCGCCGTCGGGGGCCTCGACGCCGAGGGGCGACGGCCTGGGGAAGAGCGACGTCGACGCGACCCCGCCCCCCAAGGAGAAGCTGCTGGAGAGGCTCGCCGAGGTGTCGTCGCGGCTGGAGGCCCTGGGACAAAAGACAGAGACCGCCGCGGCGGGCCCGCGGGCGGCGGGGGCCAGTTCGGCCCGAGCTACCGCGGGCTCCGACAACTACGACGCACGACAAAATGAATCGTCTCCTGCGTCGCAAGGGTTTCCGCCGATCGCTGGCCATGCGAGACTCAGGGGGATTGGAGACCTCGGGAGCACCCCCCTGGCCCCACCTGGAAGCATCGACCTCCGAGCCCCCGGGCGGTCGTCAGACGCCCCCGTCGTCGGAGATCGAGGGGCCGCTGAAAGGCTTGGAGGAATCGCCCGTGGATATGAGGTCCGTGGCCAAGGAGAAGCTGAAGGCCTACGGGGAGGAAGCGGCCTGGGCGCTCGCGGGAGGCATCAAGACGCGGGCGTCGCCGCGCATGATCGCCAGGATCAACCGGAGCGGGGGTTCTGCGGTCCAGACGGCGAAGGACTTCATTCGTACCAAGGAGCTGGATAAGAACCATTTGGCCGACGAGCTCTTGGTGGTGGCGATGCTGATCGACGGGGGCATGGTCGAGGCGCCCGCCGAGTGGATGACTTGCAAGACGACTAAGATTGCCTTCCGCCGCACTCACGCGATCGAGCGCGCGTTCGAGATGGCGCGGACTTCCCGCGACTG